GAGTAACAGTAGCGAGAGTGAGAGAGTAAGAGGCGAGAAATGACAACGCAGACAGTGCCACCCATCACCGTGCCGTCCTGTGTGTGAAACTGAAAGGGAGGGGAGAGGGAGGGGAGAGGGTGGCGAGATGAGGCGAGTGGGGAGTTGATCAGGGCCTAGGCCTAGGTCTCCCTACCTTCCTTCACCGCCTGCGCCTGCGCAACAGGGCAAGCCTAGTTTCTAAGTTTAGATTCCCGCCACGACCGGCCTTCCCGCTAAACGAGTTGCTCGTTCTGTGGGGCGAGAAGAGAAATCTCGGCCACGGCCGGCTTTCTCGCTGAGCGAGTGGCTCGAACTGCAGGGCGAGAAGTTGGGGTCACCAAAGTTCATTTAAAGTTTGTGCGCTGCGAAGTATTGGGCTCCGGAATTGGGGTATTATTGATTTTTTTTTTAAGGCACAGTCGGGAGAGGACTAGGGTTGAAGGCAACACCGGATGACAAAAACGGAACTTGGAGTTCTGAACTCCCCGGTTACCGTGTACGTGACACCGGTTGCCGGTTACTGTGTACGTAGTAGACACTGACTGAGGCTAGGTGCCAGGTGCCCGGTTACCGTGTACGAAGCACTGACCTACTAAAAAGATCAGTGCTACGAAGACACTTCGTTATGTAAAATACCTTAGGCTGCGTTCACACGGGAGTGGGCGCTATAGAAATGATCTACATTGTTATTACTATTGTTTATGAATTGACAAAAAATGTTCTGTATTTTATGATTTGACTTAGTGTTAAAACAATACCATACTGGTTTTAAAAAAGAAAATATCTAAAATAGATCCAAACACAGATTACCGGTGTTTCGAAGGTTTCAAGAGAAAAACAGAACAGGATCTGAATTGATTGGAGCATAAGCTAATTTTGCATTTAGAGGTTGTTTCGAAATCTCCCGTCAAATTTTTTGTTTTTATAGACTAAACCTCATACTACACTTTTAGATCTTTGCAAGAACCAAGTACCCGGTATGTACTAAATTTGGTCAAATTGTATGCCTTCATTTAAAAGTTATTACGAAAACCGAGGGTTCCGTTATTTTGTGTCACGCGGTATTATATATTTGGTAGATAACTTTATTGTTAACGTACTCGAGTGTTGTTACTAGTAGATCTTGTTAATAAAATTTGTATTGTAAGGGCAATTTTTATTCTTGCAGGGGGCTCTCGTGGCCTTGAGGTTAAGGTGTTGGCCTCTCATTCCAAAGGTCCCGGGTTCGAATTCGGGTAGCGACCGAAAAATTTTCTTCTCTAAATTTGTCTCCTTTCACCTCATTTCCTGCTCTCTAGCAATGTCCTGTCGTCTGCTTTCGTCTCCTCTTTCTGCCCCCACCCCCTCACCTCCTTTGCCCCTTCCTCTGGGCTCCTGATTCTTTCTGTAGCCTTTCTACTGTTACTCCTTCGCTTCTTCTTACTGCTGTCTTTCAGCCACACCCCTGATCTTCTGGTAGGAAAGATCTACACCTAGCCTTCTCGGAAAAGGGCGAAAAATCTCGGACGGCCCGTGTGCAAGTTGCGCACGTTAAAGATCCCTTGGTGGTCTAAAATCGACATGAGTAGGCTTCGGCCGCCACCTGGGCAAAATTCAAAATTTCTTACCAACTGAAAATATTAGGTGTGTCCCGCGCGCTCATATGACCTTATGCAGTTGCGAGCGCCGTAAAACACTTTACAAAAACAAACAAAAACAATTATTCTTGCAAGAATTTAATACAAGCAGAATGAAAATTCAAGACAATGTTGAAAAACTGACTGCATTATACCCGAATGATGTGGACTTTAAGAGATATCTGAAACAAATACATCCTGAAAAAGAAAAACATAGCTGCCAAGAAATGTACAACGTGCGCACAAAAGACAACATTCAAGCAGTTTTCCCAAACGTCGAGATCACCCTCAGACTATTTCTTACCCAGATGGTAACAAACTGTAATGGCGAGGGATCATTTTCAAGACTGAAAAGAATAAAGAATGAAGCAAGATCTTCAGTGGCCCAGGGGAGGTTGTAGATCTCAGCATCTTGAGCATTGAGTCGGGAAACTGGATTTCCATGACATCATTGAGGCCTTCGCAGTCAAAAAAGGCCAGAAAAAAAAGCCTTTGTAGTTTACTATTTTAGGGTAAGATTTGTTCATTTTTAACATGATATGCGCAACTATCAGCGGCGGCAGCAGCGGCAGCAGCAATGTTTCTTTATTTATTTTGGGATGAGACACATTCCAATGGAATTTTTTTTTTGGGGGGGGGGGGGAAGCAAAATGAGATGTTTGTTTTTTGGGGGGGTTTTTTTTGGGGGGGGGGGGGGGTTAGTTTTAGGCCTAGTTAGTACATGTAGTAGTACGACGCCCGCAACTGAAGGTCATATGAGCGCCAAGGGGTGGAGGTCAATATTATAGAAGTCCCTACAGGAAACCAGGTTTTTCTACTCACTTTTCTAGCTTCAACAGCAACAGCACAAGGTCCTGTCCCCGTGGTTTTATGCACCCCGCATAATTTAGTCAAATTTGATAATTTTTTTTGCATAATTTCTGATTTTTTTCCGTTATCATTATTTGTTAAAATTAACAGAATCGCACAATTTCACATTTTTGGGCTCAGTTTGCATTATAATTTCAGAATTTTTCTTGCATAAAACGGCGGGGACAGAAAGTCTGCTTCGACTATCAAGGCACCCCGGAAGTAGCGGGAGTGAACGGGGTGCCCACTACGGATGGGATCGCCTCGGCCCGATCCAGCTGTAGTGGGCACCCCGTATATATAAACATGACATAGGGCCTAAGAAGTAGAGGAAAATGACGATAGATCTACTTAGAAAGGATAAGGAAAGAAAAAGTAGCAGTTTCCTGTTGCAGTTCAGGCACAGTTATGAGCATGGCATTGAGGAATCAGCCCATTTACAATTCTATTGTATTGTGCATAAGAACACGTAATGTACTCCCTTCGGGAATGGCCTAAACTAAAGACACACTGAGATCATGTGATAGATCTAGATCTAGTATATCTAGATTCTAGATCTAGATCTATGCCCTACTAAAATCCAATCAAACCATTGAACTTTAAAAAAATCTTCTTACCTTTTGCTTAAACTTAAGCTGTAACAATGGTTTATGGATTATTTTGGGGGAAAAAGACCAAGCATTGTTTTCTTTACATCTAGAATCTTGTGTCTAGGCCTCCTAAATTAAAAAATGTGTCACCACACCATGGAAGTGAAGTCGTGGTATTCTCAGTATATATAATAAGGCCTACTATTGTGTCAGACTCTCGGACAGAATTTAGTGGGTTCTCGTCAATTTTTGGACATAAGCCTATATTGGTATTTGATACATGATGTATCGTCTAATTGCTCTTTTATTTTTTTACTTAAAGCTTGTTTATTTTTTTGCTTTTGATGAAAAATAAACCCCTGCTTTGTTCGCGCTTAAAAAGAAAGACACACACACACACACACACACACACACACACACACACACACACACACACATACAAACACACACACACACATACACACACACACAAATACACACACACACACACACACCAAAGAAAAAAAAAGCGATAAACTACTGTTGACAATTTCTATAGCAACAGTCACATTCTGTTTTCCGGTTTCAGAAGAAAGATGAAAATGTTATTAATACAGGGTGCCCACTGGATAGGATTGGCCGATCGCTCGACTTGATCGCCTCAAAAACTCAAAAACAAACGTGTTTGTTTTCAGTTTCAGGCGATCGAGTCGGGCGATCGGCCCGATCCAGCCGTAGTGGGCACCCCGTATAGTTCTTCAAAGGAACAAGATTCGATTTGTTAATGTGTTCTCAGATTGGCCAACTGCAGATAAAATGTGGCTGTTTTTTTCCGGCCTTTTTTTTTTTTTATCAAACTAAGTCTGAAGATTTTTAGTTTTAGCGCAGACATTCACAGGAGCCTTTGATCGTCTGGTCATTGAGAAGGAAGTGGAATACGAGAATAAACAAATTAAATCCTTTTACTTTTATAATAGGTACAGAGTATCCTAAGAATTAAGTGGTCGGATAGAATAAGAAACGAAGAGCTGTGGGAAAGGACAGGACAAAATGATAAGTAGAAATAGGACTAAGAAAGTGGCGATGGAAGGGACTCACCCTAATACGGGGTGCCCACTACGGCTGGATCGGGTCGATCACCCATTCGATCGCCTGAAACTGAAAGCAAACATGTTTGTTTTTGAGGAGATCGAGTTGGACAATCGGCACGATCAGCTGATCCCATCCGTAGTGGGCACCCGTATTAGAAAGCCCAGCGGAAACATCACATTACAGTACAGTCGCTGCATGGAACCCACAGGGAGCACGAGGCAGGGGTAGGTCGCGAGAAACATCTGTCCCAGTGGTTTTATGCACCCCGCATAATTTAGCAAAATTTGATAAGTTTTTTCAGAATTTCTGATTATTTCCCTTACTATTCTGTGTCAAAATTAATAGAATCGCATAATTTCACATTTTTGGGCTCCGTTTGCATAATTTCAGAATATTTCTTGCAAAAAACAACGGGGACAGAAACATAGAGGAAATGTGAGGAAAGGGACATGAGAGAGATGACGCTCACTTGGAAGGATGGCCCAGGACAGAGATTGGATAAAATAATGGAAGGGCCTGTATATGTGGCCCTGCCAGGGGTGAAAGGCATTGATTTGATTGATGATGATGATGATGATGATGATGATGATGATGATGATGATGATGATGATGATGATGATGATGATGATGGGTACAAAAATGATAAGAGTATTGGTTCTGCCTCAAACAATTATTGGATGCAAAAACAACTGGGTACATTTATTGCTTAACAGAAGCTATAAATTTTCTATTCCAGCACTCTCAACTTATGAAAATAATATTGTAGCTCAAACCAACCAAAGCAAGCCCCTTTAGGCGGAATTTAAAACTATTATGGCGGTTTTTAAGAATAACCTGGATTTGTTGACAGCAACGCGTTGCGACCAACAATCATGGCGGCGACCCACGAGAATTCCAGTGTTGTCTTACAAGGGATAGCCAGACATGTGAATTGTTTGGGTGAAGAAAACAGAAACACCAGAAAGAATGCTTTGCTTGGAATACAGAAGGACACTGTCAAACGACGACCACCTCTTGATTCTCCAGACTTGCAGCTTGTATTCTCTGAAATTATGAAACCCCTTCTCAAAGCTTTTTCAGATCCAGTGGAGAAGTGTCGAGAACTTTCCGTTGAGATGGTATTATCGTTTATGAGAAATGTTCCAACTTGTGAAAGTTATTTGTCTTATATCTTCCCTGTTCTTGTGCAAAGGCTTGGTCAGCAAGAAATCAGTGAGCCATCTGAAGAAATTCGACTGTTGCTTATTGAACTTGTGATGTTAATGGTCAAGTCCTCCAGTGCTAACATTGGTGTTTATGTTGATGATTGTGTGAGGATACTGCAAAGAACAATAGTTGACCCTTTTCCTGAAGTGAGAAAAGAAAGCTGTAAATGTGCATCACTGCTAGCTAAATCTTCACCTCAATATTTCTACATGCAGTCTGAGAGTCTCGTCAAGCCCCTTCTCCTGACTCTTTCCCACCAGCATTCCAAAGTCAGAACAATTGTCGTTGAAACAATAGGTAAGAAATAGGGTGATCTTGTAGTTCCATTCGTTAAAGTCCATGATCCATTTGTTTACATCGTGAGAAGAAATCCAAAAGTCTTGATGACCAAATAGGCAACACAAAGAACAGGGATGCAACCTAACTTCAAAACATCAAATTATGATGGTAAAATCCAGCCCCCCCCCCCCCCCCCTATTCTCCATGTTTTTATTAGGTCAGGGGGGCCCAAACCGCCGAAAAATAATGGGGGGGCTGCCAAAAAAGCGCCATTCTTTGCTTTAACTTTTTTTCTTCTGGCTTGTAGTGAAGTGCTTCCTTCCAGTCTCTCGCTTAGTTCACTCCTCAATGATTACCTGGCAATTCAGGGTCTCTGGCGTTCAGCTTTGGACTTTTAACGAACGAAACTACAAAATCACCTGAAATAGGCCTAGCAAAGTTAGCCTTATATTATACGGAGTGGTTATTGGCCCACAGGGGCGTATAAAATTTCCCCTAGAACATTTATTATTCGCAGTGGCTTTTTTTACGGCGAGCCTCCCAGTGAGTCCCAGACTATTTTTACGGCGATCCTCGAAAAGCGACCCTACTCCGCCTCTCATGTACGCGACATGCCTCAATGTATTAGATCTAGGCCTGTAGGGATTGTTCAAAATATAAACTTACACCTCAGAGGGGAAAGGGTGTCTTTGGCTTCTGTAAGAAAAGTGTAAGATTGGGTGGGGAGGTGAGATGAACGTTTTGCTCATGACTGGGAAGAAAAGGTAAAAGAAAAAGTGGATTGTGTGATTTAAAAAAAATATCTATGAAAATGATTTTGTTATCACAGTGTGATTGAAGATAAAGGATGACTCTGAAACTTACATGGTTGATTAATTTTACAGGTACGGTTTTGCAATTTGGCAACGGAAAGTCTGTTGATGATGCATACTCTCACTTGGCTCAGCGCCTGTTTGATCAGGTAATAAATAGTTGTGGTTTTAGACTGCCCTAGTAAAATCTGTGGTGTCAGTTTAACTCATTCGCTATGTATTATTTTTGGCTTGTGGACGAATTTTTTTTGGGAGGGCGAATGAGATGATGACTAGTGGGCAGTTAAAAGGTCTTTAGGGCCACAAATTCAAATAAATATCAATGTATTATGTACACCAATATTTTCAGTATGGTTTGTAGAATACATCGGTAATGTTTATTTATGTATTTTTCAACTTTGGTTCCTGTAAGAGACAATTATGCAACACAATTTTGATTGGATGCAGATAAAATCTAAAAACAAAAAATTAATAATCTTTGGTTAAACTCAAAAAATATGTTTGCATCTAGTCAAATGATACATCAAAATAACCATAAATGAATATAGAACTGGAAAATATTGAAACGTTTGCAGTTATTTACCTACATTCCATAATTTTGTACATTATGAACATAACATCCGATATTGAACCAAAAAAAAAAAAAATTTATAATCTTGAAAAACGATCACAAACAGAAAAACCCCACTCATATTTTATATGGAATTATTCAGAATTGCATTTGGAATAAACCTATACATGCCTTGAGTGGCACTTTTTCATGTTTTTTATGTAATGTCATAAAAAAGTAGTGATTTTGGGGAGAAAAAAATATTTTGACAATTTAGATCTAGACCTAGATCTAGCACTCAAAAATATTGATTTCTCAATAACAGTGCATAGGCAATATGAGTCCAATCGTATCAATATTATAAAAAAGAGCCATACATTTCTTTAGTGGGCAAAATAATGATAGATTTTGTTGTGCAAAATTACTAAGACTGGTGTCTGGGCTATAATTTTGGCATCGCGATAAAACAGAGTTGAATAAACTACGAAATCGCGTTTCAAAACTGAATCTCAATTTCCGATCTTCAGTGGAAATACTTGACCCGGAAGTCAACATTATATTATGACCTTTATTTTAACATGGATATGTGGATTGGAAAAGAATCTAAGCTAAAAGTAAAGATCCGCTCTCGAGCCGCCGGGGGCGGCTTAACGTACTGACGGCACTTCAGCCGCGCCTCCCCCACGGCTCGGCGTAGCGAATGAGTTAAGTTCTTTTAACAGAGTTGTCATTGCACAAAAAAGTTTACAACACTTACACAGTGGTTTCCACATAAAAATCTTGTCGTCTGGAGAGAAAAAAACGGGCTCTCACTTACGATGTAGTTGTATTCTGGGCGGTCATTTTACTCGTGAATCCTTCTTCTGGGTCTCTGTTCAGGTTATGAATGTTGAGAATAGTACCTTTGGAAAAGATTAACTTCTTCAATCCTGGAAGTTTTTCCCGAAAATGTACCTAGAAACTGGTCATTTTGGCACTTATGTAAGGGCCCACTAATGAACTTTAGACATACAAAATTTGAAGTATATATAGCTGTAGTAGTTTTGCTTTGGGATGGTGTACAAATTTGGCATTTTTGGGGCTTTTCTTTTTTTTTTTTTCATGGTGGAATGAGCAAGAGCAAACCTACATTGATATTCAAACATGCTTGTACAAGTGAGTGTCTAGTTCTGTATATTGTATGTCATGTATATTAAAGACTGTTAAATACTCTCATGAATAAAAAAAATGTATGTGTGAGAAAGGCAAGAGAATCGATTGGGACACATGCTCAGCTGATGAGTGAACAAACTTGGTGAAAGTGCCTTCATAAAAACCGCCATTTCTCCGTGTGTAATGTAATGACAGTAGAAACAAAATCCCAGCCCTCCTTAGGCAGAATTGGTCAAGGGAAATTTAAATAAAATGACCTTATATAAAACTAGAGACCGTTTTCCGAAACGAAACAACTAGTATACGGAACAAAACTATAGAACCTAGTTATCTCGGTCGTGGGATTGAAGGCAGCCCGCAAGCTGACCGAGATATCTCGCTCACAGGATTGAGTGAGTTAAGAAACCACTGTTAGCTACAGAAGTGGACATTGTTAGTTCAATTTTCTGATGACAAAAAGGATTAAAGACGATATTGAAAAATGTTCAAATTTGATAAAAAGCTGATATTTTCTGGTTTTACTGGCTGTATCTTGGTTCATGACTGTGTGTCTTTCAGATAGTTTTTGTACACCACTTCACCAATATTAGTCCTGTTCTGTGGGCTGGCCTTGGTGAAAAATGCATGGACCTATTTTAAAATCCCCTCCGACCCAGACCAAGGAGCAATTGTAGTCTCTCCTCTCTTCCTCTCTTCTCACATTGTGTTTTTGACATGACACATTTTTGATCTTGCCATTTTGTTGATGGTTTTCCCATTTTGTTGAGGGTTATGTTGCCGCCATTTTGTCTGCAGTTGTTCATGAACAAACGACTTGCTCTGAAGATGTAGCATTTTAAAAAGTGTTTTATTATTCTCTTGTCAATAGACACCAGCAGTCCGTAAAGCAGTCACCAAAGTTGTAGGAGGGTGGCTGCTTGATCTTCCTGACCGCTATTCATACCATCACAAACTCATTCCTCTGCTTTTGACGAGTCTGTCTGATGAACAGAGGGACATCAAGGAGTTGGCTGACAGTTTATGGCATGACATAGGTATGGTAATGTTATTATTTAAGTGTTGATCAATGACTTGAAGTGTGATTTAGGCATCTAAGAGTTGGAAAATTCCTTTCTTGTGTTACTCTAGTGTATGCTGTGGCAAGAAAATGTTAACAAAGTGGTAGTTGTATATAAACCCAGACCGGCTTTGCCTCGACAGAGAGTGTTTTAAAGTTGACTGATACATGTACTTTGTTCCAAAACTTTAGTGTGTCGATAGGTTTTCTGTTTTTACTCTAAGCTGTGATGATTGTATGGAAACTGTTAACAATTTCTGAATTATGATAATTCTGTATATGTATGGAAAAAAATGTTCAGGACTTGTCACGATGATTAATTGTGTAGCTGAAAGGTTAATGTCTCTGAATAAAGCTGAGATTGCACTATGGGTTTGGTAGGACTCTAGGGTGTTCCTTCTCCTCTGTAACTGTTAATAGATGTAGTGTTACGAGTTTTCTGTCAGTTGACACATGAGAGGTGCTGCTGCAGTGTTTTTAATGTTGTAATAAGTCACTAAATTGTAATTTTTAGAAAGACTGACATTTCAGGGTTTTTTTTGGTCTCATATGGGTTTTTTAAAACTTGAGATGTTTTATAATTTTTAAAAAGAAAGGTCCTCAGATGATTGCCTTTCTAATATTTACTTGCTAATCGTTCCATTTCTAGGTTTGAAATATGAACGGGAAAATGAAGATGATTTCAAGGACAAGCTCGACTTTCAGGCACTTCCGCCAAAACACTACCCCCCTGGAGGTGAGAATTTCTCAGAATTTTGTAGAAAGAAATCTGTGGTTATGTAAGAAGTTGTCAGTTGTGTAGATCACCTTGTAGATCAATGTTGATCCATGTTAATTGTTTCGTGGACACTTTTTGTTGTATGAAGATTTAACACTAATGTATAAAAAATAATTATGTTTTGAAATCTATATTTTTTGTGAGGCATTGTTGTGAAATCATGCGCTCGTCAAAATGATGAAATTGAAGAAAACATATTTTTTGCCGGTTTGGCAATTTTTATTGAAATTTTAATTTTTGGCTCAACACATTTTTTGTCTATGTAAAACACACTTCTGTTTGGATTTTACTGATAAACATTGATTAAAGGCTCAAAAAATGTAAATTTTAAGTTTCCAAGGAAATTACCAGACTTCTGAGAGACCCGAAGGAAATATTTTAGATGCAAAAAATTGCTACATCTGTTTTCCGTCGTTGATCCTAACAGAATCCTTGATGCCTTTACGGAAAATTGTTAATACATATATTTTGATTTTAAGCAGATTACCATTTTAGATAGTAGTAGAGGTTTTACGGCACTCGCAACTGCATAAGGTCATATGAGCGCCAAGGGGTGGGTGTCAAAAGAAAAGTCTTTGCTGGGAGTCAGACTTATTCTGCTCACCTCTCTAGCTTCAACAGCACAAGGTCTGCTTCGACTATCAAGGCACCCCGGAAATAGCAGGTCACAAGAGTGTGACAAACATACAAAAGAAGTAGAGGAAAATGACAATAGTAAGGATTAGGAAAGAAAAAGCAGCAGTTCCCTGTTGTAGATCAGGCACAGTTATGAGTGTGACAAGATGAATCAGCCCATTTACAATTGTACTGTGCTTGAAGGAGAAATATCCCCCCTTTGGGAATGACCTAAAGACACTACAGTCAGTGGCACTGCCCCGGGGGGTTTTACATTTTAAAATTTGATCGTTGACCCGAACCTAGCCGTGCAATGAACTGTTATGAATGCAGCCAACTTATGTTTCGTGGGCTCATGTGACCGTATGCAGTTGCGAGCACCGTTAAACCTCTACTAAAACAAACAAAACAAAACTTTAGCGGCTATTTTTTCATGAATTTTAACAGTGAAACCAGGAGACCCCCATCTTCTTGTAATTGAAGATATCTTGACTTCTATTCAAGATGGATGGGGTTTTTTTTCCCATCGGAAATAATACAAATGAAAAATACAAAATAATATCAATAACTCACCGATTTGTGACACATATATTTAGACTTGGGGGGAAAAGATTGTCACTTAGTCTCAAAGGTGAATGGAAAAGTACAAGTGATCTTTTTACAATAGAAAAAGATTAATGAGATATAAAGTAGAACTTTTTCCACCTCTTGTATTGAAAGCTGGTATTTAGAGTGAAATCTTGATTCACTTAAAAATAGTTTCGTGATATAACAGTTAGATTTTTAAAAAATGTTCCCTAAACAATGACTTGATAGTCAAGATCATAGATGTACACTTTAGCGGAGATGACTTGTGAGAGATATTTCACTCGTCAGCTGGCCCCTCTTCGCATCATGTTATTTACGCGAGATCGGTGACGCAGTACCTCAAAACTGTGTCACGCCGCACATTTCATAGTCTGTTTCTCTCAAAGTCGCTTCCCCTTGTTATTTCCTGTAGAGTTAATACCGGGGACAGAGGGAAAAGGGAAGGGTCATCTCAGTTAATACGTCGAAAGTAGTGGTATGTAGTGAAGTTGATCTATAAATGGGCGCATATTCACTAAATTCATCAAATTTACGCTCCAAGGAAGGAAGAAGAAGAAGAAGAAGGAGGAGGAGCAGGAAAAGAAAAAAAAGAAGGAGGAGGACGAGGAAAAAAAGAAGAAGAGGAGGAGGAGGAGGAAAAGAAGAAGAAGAAGAAGAAGAACAAGAGGAGGAGGAGAAGAAGAAGAAGGTGGAGGAGGAGGAGGAGGAGGAGGAGGAAAAAAAGAAGAAGAGGAGGAGGAGAAGAAGAAAAAGAACAAGAGGAGGAGGAGGAGAAGAGGAGGAGGAGAAGAGGAGGAGGAGAAGAGAAGAAGAAAAAGAAGGAGAAGAAGAAGGAGGAGAAGCAGAACAAGAAAAAGAAGAAAATGACAAAAAAAAGGAGTAGAAGTAGAAGAATAGAAAAGATTTGGCGTATTGTGCGCTCTAATGCATTGAGATGTGGCCAGGAATAAGGAGAGGGGACGTGACCAAGACAGGCCAATAATTGTACTGCCCGAGAGGAAACATGCAGTACGTTATGTTTAGAATTTTTCATCAAAATCCTGACTAGAATTACTAGAATGTTCTGACTCCATCTTTCATGTGTGGATGTGGGTATGACGTGACGGTAAAGAAAGAGAAATGGTGTTAAAAACCCATTCAGACAAACCCCCTTGCTTAATTTACTATGAAAACAATAAGGTGATTCCTCGGTTGTGAGGAACAGACTATTAGTTGTACAGCGTAAAACTTTCGCCGAATGCCAGACCCCAATCTCGCCTGAATCGAGGAGTGATGTGTCTCTACTTTTTTATCTCCGACTATAGGCACTAGATACAGTACGCCCCTCTCTCGCCTTGCTGCGTGATGGCCACATTCGACAGTAGCGTCCGCCATGTTTTTTTTGGCAAGCTGTGTGAAGGAGTTCTTGCTAAAGCAATGGGCTAGGCAGGTTTTCTCTTTCTCTCATACGTGATTGGGGTGGCTTGGTCCTTGTTGATTTTTTTTTTTTACCTGGGCGCCGTGGTGTACTATATCTACATTACTAAATAGCAACAATACAGCGTTCTTTCTACAACTAGATCTACAAATAAATGTATTATTAAACGATAGAGATAGAGATATAGGCTTTAAAAAAGAACCAAAAAACCCCTTTATTTCTTCATCAGCACTTTGTCTACGAGGTGGTTTATTTCTTATTGACTGAATCAAACCGTATTGGGCTTATAGACCTTTTAAAAAGAAGTAAGAAAAGATGTGGGTGTCATGGGAACCTCCCAACCACCCCTCCCTCTCTCTCCTCTCGAATCCCAGTACCAATCCCCCCTCAAATATATGAGTTTGACATTAAATTAAATCAAGATGAGCCTTAGAAAAAAATTCCGGAGTTTTTCTGCCGTTAGGTGTAGGAAGGCAATGAAGCTTTTGATAAAGCAAATTTAGCAAAACAAATTATGAATACATGTACTAGGATTTAAAAAATCGATATAAACAAATCTGAAAAGTAGAAACTTCCTGCCAAAAAATATAGTGTCTATTACTACGTAAATGGGTGGACAGTTGAAATTGTTGAAGTATTTTGTGTGGTGTGTTTGTGAAACCAAAACACGAAAGATGATCACACTCATTTCTAGTTCTATCTGTACTTTCTGGGCCTGGTAGTAAACATCCCTATAAGCATATAACTTGTAGAACAGACTAGGGAATTTTTCTTTAGTAAACTTGAGGACAGAGATGATATTGTCTTAGAATCTTTAGCTTTAGATTTTGATTCGGCGATGATTGAATCAAGAATGAGAGGCGTGAAAGACATAATTCGTAGATCTCAAGGAGCTTAGAACTAATGGAGCCTCCTCTCTCTCTTCGCGGCGCCGCGAGCAGTACGCCGCGTTGGGGATCAAATATGGCCACCGAGTGTGGGCTAAATCACGAACTGTGGCGTTTCTTTTTATAGAATTTTATCGGGCTGGGCCACGTTGTGGGGGTGGGCGGGGTGGGGGAATGCACGCAAGGAAGAGGGGATGGGGCTGGGATGAAAGAGGAGGGGCGGGCTTCGGGAAGGGACGAAGGAGAATGGGAAAAATTAAATAAGAGAGAGAGAGAGAGAGAGAGAGAGAGAGAGAGAGAGAGAGAGAGAGAGAGAGAGAGAGAGAGAGAGAGAGAGAGAGAGAGAGAGAGAGAGAGAAGAGAGAGAGAGAGAGAGAGAGAGAGAGAGAGAAGAGAGAGAGAGAGAGAGAGAGAGAGAGAGAAGAGAGAGAGAGAGAGAGAGAGAGAGAGAGAGAGAGAGAGAGAGAGAGAGAGAGTGAGACAGACAGACAGACAGACAGACAGACAGACAGACAGACAGACAGACAGAGAGAGAGAGAGAGAGAGGGAGAGAGAGAGTGAGAGACAGACAGACAGACAGAGAGAGAGAGAGAGAGAGAGATTGTGATCAACTGACGGGCTGACGGATAATGACAGGAAAAAAAAAATTATGTGTGTGATACGGACTGTTCAATTCTTTAAGAGTTTTATGTTATAATCTAGTTTAAAAATCAAAAAGATGTGTAAAATAAGAAGAAAACTTGTCCGAGTAACATAAAATTATCAAACATACCAAATTAAAAAGATACTCTTTCAAGATGCTAAAATATATAATTATAAGAAATGGATGAAAATATACTTTAAAACTGAATTTAAGATATATGATTGTATGATTCTAGGCGTGTGCCATAACTAACTTTATGTGTAAGGAATAGCGGACACAAAAGAGGGTCGATGTTTGCTTTATCTAATTGCTAACAGTATGTCTTGGTCTATAAATAATATTATTGATCACAATAATTTTGTTTCCTGGTTTTCACAAAGTGGAGCGCACAATGATTTCAAATATTTCAACAAAAAAAAAGAAGATAACAGCACCCTTGGAGGTGTGATCGCATGCATGAGCGTGGATAACCTTTGAAGGGTTGTTTTTTTTTCCAGTAAAGTATGATATGGAGAGCAGCGTTTTTAGTCCCTTATTACACTCCAAATTGTGTTGCTGGGGGCATAGAATCACTTTCATTCAAATTTTTTAAAAGGGAAACAACTTAACTGTGAAAACTTCGGTCCACTGCAGCATCATATCGGTTCTTACACTTAAATACAACACAGGTGCAAGGCATTTTTACTAATTGACTTGCCTAATCTGAAGGACCTCGGAATAAAACCTTCTTTCTTATTCAGATTTCAGTGCCTTAATCGGGCAATCGCGCGGCGCAGGTAGCCCACGGTTCCGCCGCGAGAGAGGGCTCCTATCAGGCGTGCGGTGCCGCCCACAGAGCATCCTCCATTACTTTTAATCTCCTTGGTAGATCTAAATCTACCGTGGCAGCAAAGTGAATAGTTGGAGATCGGGAAGTGAGTGAATATGCTTGGAAATGAAAGGGAAAGAAAGCCAAGAGAAGTGAAAATCAAGAGGATAATGTCTTAGATCTATTTCTAAATCTAAATCTAGACCTGGACAAGCAAGTGCAACTCGGGCAAATTCTGATTTATTACAAATTTTGGTATTGTCACAGTGATGTTACAAAATTGATAATAAAATCTGCTAGAATTGCACAATTTCATACCCTTTTGCATGAACATGCAGGGAATTGAATGTAAAATTACGTACTTTTACTAATCAAATATTTTTTTACACATTTCAATGCTACGTTTTATTACCTTTCAAAATATGTAATAAACTACCTACAAATTATTTCATTTTACTTATGAAAATCCTTCCCGAACATACACACCTATCATCCAGGATCGGATGCACAGAGAAAACCGCTGAAAGCTGGTATAAAAATGGGCAGAGAATGAGTTAAGAACTAAAGTAAACAATTTACAGCACTTAAACTAAAGCTCCTTCTATTGTTGTTTTAAGTAAGTCTAATTTTAGACATTTGTAAAACAACTGTGACGACTCTGGACTCACTAAAGATAAAAAAGTGAACTTAATGTGGTCAATTGTTTTTCTACACAGTTTAGTGATAACTGAAACCAAAACCTTTACTAAGGTGTTTTTGGACAACATTCAATAAAACGAAACATTAAAAAGTACTCTGTTTGATAAGGAAATTACCTGGCCATTGTGAAAAAGATCTAGCTGCTAGTCAACCTTAACTTTTCATGGCCCAGAACTTTACTGATGGCTCTTAATATTTAAAAAAACGCAGACTGACTATTTGTGTCTATAAGACATATTATGAGCGAAAAATAGATGATGTAATAAAAGAAAACAGAAATCATGGAACTGCCTGACTGAAGCAGTGATGAGTTGTTTAAATTCATTCGTGCAATAGAAAATGTGCAAAAACCCATATTATGTGCTGTGCATATAGCAAGCTCAGCACCAAGTGCACTCTGACTATGGTTTCCTTTGTCACTAATTAGCTTAGAGATCTATATCCTATACATTACATCGTACATTTTAGACACAAGCCTGTCTTTGGCTGCTCCCATCCATCATCATCCCATAAAAATAATTATGATTGATGATACTGCTATATTACTATGTTTAATATATATCGTAAGTCAGTGAGTCATTGTCAAGTGAGTGAAATTAGTACCTCAGATTAGTAGATTTAACTTAGATTTTGTGATGTTTAAGTAATTTAAACACAAAGAGGAGGCAAAATTGCAGTGGTTGGATCTGATTTCAATTAACTGAAAGGTAAGATTTGATCAGGCCAGGCTCTTAATCTTTTCGAATATTTTCTTCAAAACAGAGATCTGGATCTAATCAGTCAAAATTCTTATCAATCAGTGAAATGAAAGAGGGATTCCTTTGGAGGCTCTGTTAGCACACTGATAAACGCAGCAGTGTTGCACCATCCTTTCTGGTCTCGTTTTATTGTAAAGAAAGTCTCTAAGGCTGTAATAATAATAATAATAATCATGCAGATCATTTCTATAGGGCCCACAAACACCGCTCTAGGTGCTTCAGAATCTACATAAATGCATGTATGAACAATATTCACACATGCACCCGCACACACATACACAAACACACACACACACACACTCACACACACACACCCACACACATCTACTTGCTTATCACACTCACACGTTTGCACATCGTACAAACATGATCTAGATCTAGACGTCTATTGGGATATGGCTTTTCTTTGGGTTACATTAAAGAATTTCAGTATTATTTTCATTAAGCTGGAGCTTATTATCAATCATCCAGTTCTTGATATCATCAATGCACATACCCTTGGTACCAGGCACGGTTTTAACATCTGGTGGTGGAACAGATTTGTACAATTGTGTATCATCTGCGTACATGTGATGTTGTTATCGATCCAGGCGTACATGTGATAAGTCATACTCATCTGTGCTTTCTAATCACAGCTCAAAGCGGCTGTGTTTATAACGTATACACGATAGGACCCAATAAGACGTTAATCCAGAAAGGGACTAGAGGTTTCACATGCTTGCACTTTTAAGAGAGTCCCTTTGGATTAAAACACAATGTTAGAATACCCGATACCCCCGGGGCAGTGCCTCTGACTGAAGTGTGTTTAGGCCATTCCCAAAGGGGGGACATTTTTTCGTTCTAAATCACAGTAGAATTGTAAATGGGCTGGTCGAAGAATGTCATGCTCATAACTGTGCCTGAACTGCAACAGGGAACTGCTGCTTCTTTTTCCTAATCCTTACTATCGTCATTTTCCTCTACTTCTTTTGTATGTTTGTCACACTCTTGTGACCTGCTATTTCCGGGGTGCCTTGACAGTCGAAGGAGACTTTGTGCTATTGAAGCTAAAGAGGTGAGCTGAGTAAGTCTGATTTCCTGTAAGGACTTCTGTGTTGACATCCACCCCTTGGCGCTCATATGACCTTATGCAGTTGCGAGCGCCGTAAAACCACTACTAAAACATAACAAAACAACGTTAGAATCAAATAAAAAACGTAAGAGCAGAGACATGCCCACTCACATGTAAACAAACGTTTTTGCTAATGAAAAAATGACGCCAACAAACTCAAATGTTTCCGTGTCACATGACCTCGTACGGACTCTTAATTTTTAAAGGAGATAACTCTATTGTCAAGATGAATTATCAATTTTAAAAATATGTTGAGGTAATTATAAAGTATCTCTGGTGCAAATGAAATGGATTATCAATAGCCAATAATGTTAATGCTGGAGATGGTTTTACTTTGGAGACGAGCACAAGCAAATCAGGCTTGTGGGGGGAGTTGTGCAGTAAGTACAGTCGAAATTTTCTAAGGCGACCACCTATAGTCGAGGAAAACAGTGGTTGTCTTAAAGACAATTGGATGTCTTGGACAGTATCATTATAATATGAAAGAAATGCAAAGAGAGATATGATGGGAGCGGTCGTTTGTAAAGGTGACAGTCTTGGACTGTTGGCTGTTAGAATAGGTTCCACTGTCATTCTAATTGTTTAATTGTAACCCTTTGGAGTAGCATTGAAAATTGTTACGAGTTTCACATTGTTTCTTCATTAAAAAACAACAGAATCTAAGGTATGACTGTAAAATCAGAAGACTGAACAAACTTAAAAAGCAAATATGGTTTTGTATTTGTATAGTAGAAAATAGATTAGGTTCCTTTATTCCTATTGATGTTCATATTTTATATGCACTTTCATGGCTATTAAAATCTCTGTGGAATATTTCAGTGGAAAGACCCAATTTGGGATGCAGAGTGCTGGTGAATCGCCATTTGTCCAAAATCTTGCCTGGTCTTGTAAAAGACATTTGTGACTGGGTTGGAGAAACCCGCATCAAGTCGGCCTCTCTTCTCTACTGGCTTCTGATCAATGCAGAGGAGTACACAACACAGCACATTGAGATTTTACTGAATGGTCTTTACAAAGCAAGTCTGGACGACGAGACGAGAGTTGTTCTGGATGTATGTTCACTGAAATGGAAACTTTTGTTAAAAGTACACGTTGATTAAGCATATTCCATTCCCTTGTTGCTTTTTTCTTCTAAAGTTCGGTTTTGGAATGAAGTAAAGGTGTGTTTTCAATATACTTTTTTTTTTCTCTTTTCAAAAATTGGTGTTAGCTCATGGTTCTTGAGAAGGTGTGGTTACAGTGGTCTCCATCTTAGAATGCAACATGTTAAAATCAGTTTTTAGTAACACATTTTTTTATCCCTGACTTACATGCCTAAAAACTGGGTCTGAGCTGAGGGAGTGAAAGTTTGTCCAGTTTTAAATGCATCTCTTTGCCAAAATAACATTGTGAAAACAATGAGGCCTTTTTCATTCTTTGTATGTGTGTGTGTGTGTGTGTGTGGGGGGGGGGGTGCACAAGGCAGAGAGGAAGAGAAGACACTCTCACACTGCCCCTCTACTTTTTGTTTCACATAGCACTGCCCACTTCTAAACACTTCAGCCGCTTTGACTACTTATAGTGTAAGACTCTGCCACATACCATTATGAAAAATAACGTATAACGGAGTGTTACATTGAGCAGTTGGTATGCTCCCTGGCTCAGTAATTATATTAATTTGTACATTTTTTATTGTTATAGCGGACATGTATTCCCACAGGTTCAAAGGTCGGCAGAACTGGTGGGCTATTTCGTCAAGCCGGAGATCTGGAAGAAGGTTCTCCTAGTCTCTCTGCGTCAATCGCTATCCTCCGGAGTGGTCATGACTCTGGCATCTATCGTCAAAGGTTGTACTCATGACCTTTTGCTGCCTCACCAACAAGACCTGGTGGAGTCCATTCTCAACCCGGATATTTGTCACACTGTGGAGGCCAAAATGCATGTTCAGGTACACAAATCCATACTCTTCTTCACTGATCAAATTTCATGAGGGCAAGCCTTTTCTAAATTTTTTTTTGGCTTGAAAGTCTTGATTAAAGTTCAAGAGCAAAAAAGTTCCTATCATATAGCTTGGCAATGTTCAAAGAATGTTCCCAAACGTATGGTGTTGTAAGATTTAGGCCTACCTTGTGTAGATCTCTAAGTCTTTCTTGCCGTGTCGCAGTCGTCTGTCGATGATAGGGGGCCCCCAATCCTGTAGTCTGGTCGACAGAATTTCAGTTACGTCTTCTCGCTAAGTTCGCTCAATCAAGACTGCTGCCCGTGCTAGTTAGTCATGCGCGAAGGCCTTTTTCCGTTGGCGAGGTGTTCGAAGGTTTCCTGGCCAAAATGTTGACAAAACAAGATGTTCGATACTACAGTGTATTACCCGTGGCTTGGTCATTGAAAGAATATCATGACTTGTTGTCGGTCTAATGTCCCTCTACCTATGCAGATTTTCTTCTGCAGCCTGTGGGCGGATGTCGAGGACTGTTATTGAGTCTCCTTCTTTTCAGTGTTTCAGATTATTGGGTGAAGGATGACATGCATCTTAACTTCTGCCTATTCTGTCTGTTAGCCAACAATATATTATCTTCCTTTTAGTCTTTTGCCTGAGTTTTGACACATATTTTTGTGTGATTTGCTCCTTCTTTTTCAATGTAACAGTGGTGGTTTGTGTATTGGATCTTACAGTTTTTAGTATTGTTTTTAAAGTTTTGGAACTCAAACTTGCACTTAATCATGTAAGTTTGTTGTATCTTCAGTCTGAGAAAACATAACTTTGTCTACTCTTGATGACTTCTTGGCTTCAAACGTCATCTTTATTTGTTTACATGTATTAATAATAAATAGCATTTGTGCTTCGCATTTCCATTTTCTAAAAAATGCTCTATGTGCATTACATTAATAAAGATATCACATCTTAAAAATTAATAGACATGTGTGTAAGTAAAACCTAGTATTATGCATATAAATGTATATGTATAAAAATTTCTATGAGAAAAATAGTCTCACAGTAAGCCTGGCAACGCATTCACTGAGATATAGAATGCAGTAACAACTCATGAACAATAAAACTGAAATTTGAATAGCAAGAAACATTCAGGAAAAACAATATTTTCAATGTTTTGATTGCTATAAAAAGTCACATAACGAAATTGTAAATCAGTTACTTCCATGGAAGCTTCTGTAAGAAGTCTTGGGCCTTTCCTGTTGGAAAAATGTTTTTGTGGTTTTATTTATTTTCAATACTTTCTTTTGTGCTATTTTGTAGTAATAAATCATGAAGTCATCTTTGGAGTGGATATTGAATTGTCTACTCCTCGCGGGCAGTATTGCATACAGACGTAAGTCATTTTTGGCAGCCTTTGAGATATGTCTGGAGGCAATACTGTCCCCTTCCTGGTCTCTGACAATTTTGGAGTGTCTGGCTATGTTTTTAAAAACTCTGTGTTTGCTCTTTATCTTGCAATTATTATTGTTACAGAAAATTGAGTATCAAAATGTTTTTGTTTTTTTTATCGTCAGGTTTTTAATACTGTCAATAAGCTATTCTGGCTTTTGTGATTGTCCCCAGATTTTGAAATTTTGTGAGGCAATGTTGTCAGTCATGAAGGAGGATGTCAAAGATGTTGGTCAACAGATATTTAATATGCTCATCAACACCATCGGGATGGCAAAGGAAGATAACATCAGACAAAATGTAAGTCTTTTTCTTGTCCAGAGAAACATGTGATAGATTACTAGTGGATAAGAAGACATAATTAAGTTGAGAAAGATTTGTTTGCCTTTTGGAAAGTACAAAAATTGATGAAAGTGCATGTCTTTGGAGAGGTAATGACATTAATCATTGTTTCTAAGGGCTTGTAGCTTGAATTTTGTTTTCCTTACCAGTTTGCTATTTTATGACGCTTATTGTACTACCAACTGATTTTGATGTCTTGCTGAACAAAATTCAAGTGGATGGTATGTTGGAAAAGCTTTATTTACTTGTATGCTTTTCTTTGTTTGTTTGTTTTTTTTCCCCCAGATGTATGCTGCCTTAGCTATGCTCGCATTGTTCTGTTACACTGGTACATGTATTGCGGATTGGTTGGGTCCAATAGTACAATGGTCAACTGAAGACATTTTGTTTCTTTATTTCTTCCTTTTTAGGCTAATGAGCTGTTGGATGCCCTGGCTAAAGTTCAAGGCTTACGAGACAAGACAGATTTGTTTGAAGCCCACACGAAGCCACTCCTTGATTCCTTTGGTGATGGCATCAACATGTGGACAAACTTCTCTCCTGAGAGGATGGTCTTCGATGCTCTCTTGATAGAAGCTGGTGAGATTATGCTTTTGTTTCTTAACATGATTTTTGTTTTGCTAAAACCTTTGTTGTTTTCTGGTGGTGGTCTTGACATGGGAATAGGCACGAAATTTGGTTCAATGGTATTTATGTCAAAGCCATTGTTTAGATAAGGGCTTGGGGGGGGGGGGGGGGGGATAAAGAGGGGTTCAGAAGTAGAAGTACCTGTTTTTTCTGTACTCAGGTCCTGTTACTAGCTAGCATTTAAGAATGTCCTTATATTCAGTGGGGAAGAAGTTCAAAATCAATTTGTATGTATGTTAAGCATTTTATTATTAGCTATGGGCATTTTGTGAAACATTGGGAGTATTTCCTTGTGTGTAGATGGAAAGTGGTTCAAAATGATATAATGTTGGAGGGCTCTCGTGGTTTAGAGGTAAGGTGTTTGCCTCTCCTTCAATTGGTCACAGGTTTGAAAACTTACAGCGACAGAAAATTTTCTCCTTTCTCCTCCTTTCCAGTTCTCTAGTCTTGTTCCATCACCTACTTTCACCTACTTTTCCCCCTCCCAACCTCCAGCCTCCCCCGGGCTCATTTCCCCTTTACTCTTAACTTTTTCTTCAGCTCTCCTGGTTCTTTCTTACTGGTATCTTTCAGCCACACCCCATGATCTTTGGGTAGGTGAGATGTAACACCTTGACTTCTTGGATAAGGGAGAAAATCTTGGGAGGCCTGTGTGCAAGTTGGGCATTTTAAAGATCCCTTGGTGGTTCTAAAATTGATGGCAAGGGGCCCTATGAAGTTGGAAAAACGGTTACATATGTAAAAATCAGTTGCACTGCAGTTAGAACCAGTAGTCTGCTCCCTCTGAGATCTAGTAGGGGAACGCAAAGAAGAAGATATGATGTTGAGTGTTCTCACAAAATGAAAAAAATAATTTTTTTCACGGTCTACATCAGAGAGACAACATGAAGGGGCTTCAGATATAAATGAAGCTATAGCAACTGTTACAAAATTTATATTTGTGAAAAATTGTTGTCAGGTCCGGTGGTCGGCAAACATTTAGATGACATCATCCCCATCATTGTGATCAACCTGCACCCGGACAAGGACGCCGAGCTAAGGCTCAAGGTTTTCTCTCTCCTGTCCCGCTTGATTATGGCTGCCCCGACCACTCTCGACTCGGAGCACCACTTTGCTGAATTTGCAGTCACTGTGCTGACCGATGTGATCCTTCCCAACTGTGTGTGGTCTGCTGGGCGGACGGCGGGTGCCATTCGTACGACGGCTGTCTCTTGCTTGTGGGCCCTGCTGCAGAGTGGGGCGCTTACTAAAGAGAAGGTGGGTAGAGGGAACTGTGTACTAGCTAGTTCGAAACACGCGCCTGTATGCAGACATGCGTATTTGTGTTTGTGTATTTGAATGTGTATGTGTGTCTTTGTTTGAAGGCTTGTTTATGTTTTTGTGTGCGTACAGGCCAGTGCTTAAGTGTGAATGGTGAGTACTGATATGTACATCTGTGTGTGTGTGTATGTGCGTGCGTGCATGTGTGTGCACACAACAGGTGTGTAATTTTACCATATATATATATGCTGTAGTGGCAGTTTTGAATTCTGGGTGAGTTGACTTTACGGTTTGCTTATGCCTTGTTTTTTTTTGGCCAGATGGAGCCAGTGATCGAGTCTGTGATTACCCAGGTGATTTCTCTGCTGGAGGATGACAACACCAGTACACGTTTACTGGGCTGCAGGGTCATGACCCGGATCTTTGACCTCATGGGGTCATCGCTGAGTATGGACAGGCTGCACAACATGTACCCAGAACTGCTCAAGGTTAGACCTTAACACGTTGGTCTGTTATTCTCACTCATTGACCATAGGAGTGCTTCTTTTCTGGAAATTTCTAGACTTTGGGGAAGTGCTGAGAATTGCAGACTTTTCATTATCTTTTATGACAGATTAATGTTGCATATTTTTGTAAAGCAATTTCTACAAGGACCATGTTTTGTTTCTTTTCTGACAGTGCTATATTGTCCAGGGTGACTGCGGGAGAGAAATTTCCGCCATGAACGCCAAGCTACAATGTGAGGCAGGAGTGTGATTTTTAAATTATTTTTCTGGGGGGGGGGGGTTGTAAGTTGTATGCAATGGAAGGAGTCGCTCCCGTCCGTCCGTCTGCCCGCTCGAATGGATGGAGTCTCTCGGTCCGCCAGTCCGCTCGCTCACTAAACGAACTGTTGTCTCTGTCCGATGTGTAGCGAGTAGCGAACTACTCTTCACAAGCGGAGGATTTGTTACCCGTCCGCTCGTTTGCGGGTAGTGCCAGCGAGTAGTTGGTTACTTGCGGACGCTAATTTTGCGAGCCCGACCCAACCCTAGTACCTACATTTGTGTGTGTGTGTGTGTGTGTACGCGCTGTCGTTGTTATGTAACATGCCCCTGAAAAATGGATGACCCTCCCCTGGAAAACTGGGAAGCCGGGTTGGCAGTCACCCTGAAATGTTCTCACCATATAAGTAGACCTGCATGTTTGCGGACAATCTTCTGAATTCTGACAATCGCGACCCGACCTGGGACCCGGCCGATGCCATCGCTAGACCCACCTGTATTAGTCAATGTGCGAAGCGCGAGGCCTGGCCCATCGCCAGCACCCCCCTTTTCTCCGGTTGGCTTTGTCGGCACTTTCGTTTTCGTGCTGTCTGCCGTGTCAGGCATAATTGTCGGAACCTGAGTAAAAATACGAATACGAAAAAGGACGACGACGTAAATTAGATCTACTTTCAGTTTCGTGCTTGAGCGCCCATTTTGAATTTCGTCTGTTGACCGATAGTCGATAGGGCCTAGTTCGGATGTGGATTCATTCGAGGCCTACTAGATCTAACTTGTTCTACTTGATCTAGATTTATCATAGATCACTATAGACCTAGATCTATATGGAGGATTCATATTCCAATTCTATTGTGTCAAACCCTATTATAGGTTGGGCTGTAATGTTAATTTTGGTAAAAGTGCATTTCATCAGGTGCGTAAATTATTAGATCTAGATCTAGACTCAGCTGAGGCCCTCTCTGTTCGGATGCAGATTTTTTTCTAGTACTATTTTGCATGCTGAACATGAATATGGCCTTCATTTTTGCTGCTAATCAATAGTTATTGATATTGATGTTTGAAAATAATGATATTTCACTTGATTTAAACAACATGTGGGGTTTCATGCCCCCCTGACCTAACAAGAATCTGGGGGGTTTCAGGGGGGTGCTTCCCTGATTTCACGATGATTTGATGTTTTGGCAATTAGGATTGATAAATGTACTTGAAAACAATTGATTTGAGAGGTTTTTAGTGACCGTACCTGTGTTCTACAACAAAAATTATGGCAGTTTAACCCGCAAATCTGTGTGTGGGTGCATAAGTAAAATTTAACTCTATTTCGTTCAAGGCTTATTCAATTCCTGTTCCAGATCTAGTTATCTAGATGTTGATCTTGATCTCGATAATTATATGGAGGATTCATTATAGGGCAAGATACAGGCTCTGTTTCTCCGAACGCTCGGGAAAATAAACCTGAACTCTATTTCTCCGAACGGTTTCCGTTCTCGAGATTTGTCGATAATTTGCAAATAGAGTGGCTCGTGTGTGTGTGTGTGTGAGTGTGTATAAGGTGTG